AGGGTTTAGGGGTTCAGGGTTTAGGGTTTAGGGGTTTAGCGGTTTAGGGGTTCAGGGTTCAGGGTTTAGGGGTTCAGGGTTTAGGGTTTAGGGGTTTAGCGGTTTAGGGGTTAGGGTTTAGGGTTTAGGGGTTAGGCTTTAGGGGTCAAAGGGTTTAGGGTTTAGGGTTTGGGGGTATCAACGTTGAGAGCAAGACAAAACCCTAGACATCCAATAAACCCTACTACACTAAAACCAAAGCCCCGAACCGCTGAACCCCAAAACCCCAAACTACGCAGCCCATAAACCCTATACACCCTAAAACCAGAGCCCTGAACCCCTGAACCCCTAAACCCCAAACCCCCATAAACCCCTTGAGCCCTACACACACTCGGCATTGATCCTGGAGCTGTTTAAGGCACCACACACCCTAAACCTCAAAAATAAGACGCGGAATCTAATCCCCTAAACCCCTAAACCCTAAACCCCCTAAACCCTAAACCCCTAAACCCTAAACCCTGAACCCTAAACCCTAAACCCTAAACCCCTCAATCCCTAAACCCTAACAACTGAGGGTTTCGGGCTCAGGGGCAGGATTCCGTAGCACAGCACGTACCCCGAAACCCTCAAAACCCCAAGCCCTACACGCCCGAAGCGGCAAACTCACGGCGTCGAAGGTCCCTATAACAAGAACCCTAAACCCTAAACCCTAAACCCTATAAGGAAACCCTAACCCCAGAAAAGGAGATCCAGGAAAGCCTAAACCATAAACCCTATAAGGAAATCCGAAGCCCAGAAAAGAAGATCCCCCAAAGGTCCGCACTAAGTGCCAAAGAGGTCGCCGCGTTGAAGGTCGTGGTATTTGGTCTCAACTCATGCTCCTTCCTAGGGTTTTGGGTTTTGGGTTTAGGGTTTTAGGGTTTAGGGTTTAGGGTTTAGGGTAGCCCCTTTACAATAATAGAACCCTTTTTCTTACTAGTCGGTTTTTGTAAGGGCAGCCCAACATAAAAAGGGAAAAAGGGTGCTACTCATGAACATAGCTTCATGTTCCGGAGCAACTCAAGGGCTGTCCTCCAGCAAAGACCCCTCTCCTGGGCTTTTTTGCGTTTCAAGACTCTGTGGGTTTTAAGCCTTGGGTTTAGGGTTTGTGTGTGGTAAGGACTCTTTGGTTATTTTCGGTGTGCTGTAGGGTTTCTGCTCCTGTGTTGGCCCCTGCGCCTCCGCATTTAATTTTCGGCCCTTTCTACGCAGAGAAATGGGAGGCCCCTCGTTTAATTATATGTTTTATCGAGTCCCTGCCAGGTCGAGATTTTTTAATCACGGATACGTAAGGACTACCTGAACCCGAACTAAGTTACCGTTTTCAGGACTTCCACAAGGAAACCACAATAAAGGACCCTAATAATGTGGGCTTCATGTCCAGGTATTGTCAAACAAGCCTAGTGTCACATGCGCTGATCGCTGCATTGAAGCTTACCACGCTGGGCGCCACACTCTCAGACGGCATCCGCCGAAAAATCTCCAGTGCCCGCCTCGTCTCCCCGGTAGCCCCTTACAAAACCTACGGCTCCATGTACCTATATATATATATAT